TGGATTTGGTGGTACACATTTTCGGAGTGGGAAACTTAAGAGAATATCATCTAAAGAGCTCTGGGCCTTCTGGTTTTTTGTTTTGTTTTGTTATGACCATGTGTTGCATGGTTTTTGTTTGGCACAAGCTAGCTCAGGAGCTTTACAATGCCTGTGCAGTTAACAAAAATAGAGCTTGATGTTGATGTGTTCCTGTGAGAGAATGTAACATTCCTACAGTTGGAGATGGCTCTAGGCACTCTGGTACTCACAAAAGCATTAAAAAGTATTAAAATTTACCCCTTTGCCTGGATGTTATTTTGGATGGTTGATTACCTCATGTCGCTTCTATGCCAAAGTCTCCACTTTTCCAATGACTTCAGCTTTGTGAGCTGGTTGTTCACTTTCAAAAATTCCCTTTCATCTGTGCTTCTATTAGAAAGTAGCCCAGACTTTCTAACAGCACACATAACATTGACCAAACCAGACACTGGGTCCTGTGTTTTGGTTTATAAGTTTGGTTTATAAGTTATAGTTGGACTTTCTAGGCTCAGTAGACCTAAGCTGAAGTTAGTATAGGGAAGTGCTCTTTTGCAGAGGACAAAGAGCAAAAAGGGCACAGTGGGCATCAAAAGGTAGGATAAGTGAAGGAAGGAAGGTTACTGGCCCCTGAGAGGGTTTCCATGGACCATTTGGAGACCCATTGTGAAGAGTTTTTGAGGCGCTTCAATGGTTAAGTTGTTCTTGATGCCATAATTGGTGCAGAAATATGTCAGGTGTCCAATGCTGTGTCTAGAAAGGTTTTGTGGGATCAATTTCAGTTGATGGGACCTGAGGATATTGTCAGGGTGTTTGCAGCAATACATCAGACCATACAGAATCATAGATTCTCTTGTCCTGTCCCTTATGATTAATAAAATCTTGCTGGCAGGGGATGGATCCAGGGTGTGGTGAACGCATCATGATGCAATGAAGTGGTGCCCACTGCTTTGAGAGAGGCAGTGGTGTTACCACATCTAAAGAAACCCAGCATTGGACCCACTCATCTGCAATAGTTATCAACCTTTTTTCAAGAAAGTGATTGAGAGGCTTGTGGCAGAGCAGCTGCCGGCATTATTGGATGTAACTCATTGTCTAGACCAGGGGTCAGTAAACTTTTTCAGCAGGGGGCCAGTCCACCATCCCTCAGACGTTGTGGGGGGCTGGACTATAGTTGGGGGGGGGAATGAACAAATTCGTATGCCCCACAAATAACCCAGAGATGCATTTTAAATAAAAGGACACATTCTACTCATGCAAAAACACGCTGATTCCCAGCCCATCCGCGGGCTGGATTTAGAAGGTGATTGGGCCGGATCCGGCCCCCGGGCCTTAGTTTGCCAACCCATGGTCTAGACCCGTTTCAGTCCAGGTTCAGGTTTTCTGGACCAAAATGGCACTGGCTACTCTGATGGGTGACCATCAAGAGAGGGGCAAGGAGGTGCAACCTTGCTTCTTCTACTCCATCTTTCTGCAGCTTTTGATACCATTGATCCTGGACCCAACAGATTACAGTGGTGCCTCGCAAGACGAAATTAATTCGTTCCGCGAGTTTTTTTGTCTAGCGAATTTTTCGTCTTGCGAAGCACGAAATCCCATAGGAATGCATTGAAATTCAATTAATGCGTTCCTATGGTCAAAAAAGTCCAAACAAAGCCAAATTTGGTACAACAAGAGTTTATTAAGTGCTCTTTAAAGTCACACATACTGTAAAGAGCATTTCAAAAATTGAAGGAACAATAAATTAAGTTTCTAAACATGACAGAAAAACATTTAAAAATTCAAAAAAACCCCACACAAGCTCCCAGATTCTTGCAAACCCCTCCCCAACTGTTCCCCCAGCCACCCACCACACAGAAATTCAAATCCAGATTTTTTTTTTAAAAAAAACAATATGGCCCAATGGTCACAGAAAATCATAAAAATTCAAAAAAAACCCACACAAGCTCCCAGATTCTTGCAAACCCCTCCCCAACTGTTCCCCCAGCAACCCACCACACAGAAATTCAAACCCAGATTTTTTTTTAAATAAAAAAAACACAGCAGAGTGGCCCAATGGTCACAAAAAAATCATAAAAATGCAGAAAAAAACCACGCAAGCTTCCAGATTCTTGCAAACCCCTCCCCAACACCAAGTCCTTGAATTCCAAACACCCCAACCCAAAATCCAAAACCCCCCCCAAAAAGTTTTAAAAGTTTAACTTACCAAATGGCTGCAAAAGAAGTTTTGGAAAAGCTTCTTTTCCAAAAATCAGCAAAGTCTTCGAAAACCTCAAAAAAGGCTACCACACCACGTGCTATGAGTTGCTCCTCGAAGTCAAGTCGCAACTGCACCTCTTCAAGCAATGCACCCTCTTCAACTGCACCTCTTCAAGCAATATTAACGGTTTTACGAAAAAGGAAACAAACTTGCAAGACGTTTTCGTCTTGCGAAGCAAGCCCATAGGGAAATTCGTCTTGCGAAGCAGCTCAAAAAACGCAAAACCCTTTCGTCTAGCGAGTTTTTCGTCTTACGAGGCATTCGTCTTGCGGGGCACCACTGTATTTGTTTCTCTGCCCCTGCCCCTTCTGTTACATAAACTTTCCTTGTTCTTTACAATATCAGACCTTTGATGTTTTCGTTGCCATTCAACTTCTGAGCACTAGATGCAAGTTTACCAAGGCGTCGTTGGGAACAGAATCTCTGCAGAGCCTACAAGGACCTCCATAGCTTTGCATGGTAGTAAAACTGCACTGCAAATGGATCAAATTTTGTGGTTTTCAGATCTGTAATAATACTGGATACCAGTACCTCACATTTGGAAGTTACCATCTTATTAACCTTATAGTGCCTTAACTTGACAATCATTCCATCTCTGATTTATTTCAGCATTTTTTCTAAACTATTTTGCCCATAACCAGCATATGTTTGTAACTAGAACACAGGGGAAAGCAGAAAGCTCAGTGGTGAAGCACATTGCAGGTTCAGTCTCAGATAGGGCTGGGAAATGCTTCCATCTGAAATCCTGGAGAGCCTCTGCCTGTCAGTGTGTAGACCGAGGGTGGGGGATCCTTGATCCCACTGGCCTCTCCTAAGGCCCCACTCCTTCTCCTCAGCCCTCTTTTCCTCTTCTGCTGAGTTATAACCTCCAATGCGCTGAGTAGGGCAAGGGCTTAAATCTCCCCTTCCCACAATCTCTCTCCATGATCAGAGTTTCCGGCTCAATAGTAGGGAAAATGGCATGCAGCTGAGTCCCACTGCTGAGCTGATCATGGAGGAAGAAACAGAACAATCAAGACATAATGCTAAGAATGCAGTTGAGTGCGGTGCATGGGAAAGCGGCCGTGACTGTACTCTCTTTGATTTTGTACTGTGCCAGGCCCCCAGAGCAGCCATTTATGTTTTGCCATTCCCCATGGCAGCCATTTTATGACTGGTGCCCACAGTACTCTCAAAATTGGGAGAAACATTAGGAAGAACTTTCTGACAGTAGGAGCTGTTCGACAGTGGAATTTGCTGCCAAGGAGTGTGGTGGAGTCTCCTTCTTTGGAGGTCTTTAAGCAGAGGCTTGACAACCATATGTCAGGAGTGCTCTGATGGTGTTTCCTGCTTGGCAGGGGGTTGGACTCGATGGCCCTTGTGGTCTCTTCCAACTCTATGATTCTATGAAATTCTATTCTATGAAAATTCAAAATATGCCTACTGGTTCAAAAAGGTTGATGTGCCCTGCTCTACAGCAACAGAAGTAGCCTTTGTAGTCAGTCACGGCCCATTTGTTTTAGGCCAAAGAGAGAAACAGGAACCAGATCATGCAGGTTTCACAGCTTGATGGTGCCTAGGCACTTTCAGTGGATCCTCTTTGCCCTTGCTTCTCCAGATACTTTGCTTTTTTACTGTCGCTTAGAAGCGCATCATAGGCACATTGGCCACGATTTTGCTGTTTGTATTCTCTTATTAAAAGATAACTCACCTGCACTTTTGCACTGTTGGGTGTTATATGGAATGTTGCTTATGTTGTGGGACAATTGAGAAACAGGTTTTGATGTGAATGGTAGCCATTCCCTGTGCCTTTCTGTTGTTGTTTTATGCCTTTAAAAGTTTTTTAATATACCATGTTTGTACCACAAGAACTATGTGTGTATGAGCAACAATTGAAAAAGCTAAGGGAAAGCTTTTGGCAATCTGTTAAAAAAAAAAAAAGAATACTTATATTTTCTCCACCCTTTTAGTACAATTTGGCAGAATGAAGACAATACTATAATAATCTAGAGGCAAGTGGCTTGATTTCAAAAGCAGCTTCAGGGACAGAAAACAGGTCATAAAAGGATAAAAAGCTACTCCAAAACAATTCACAGTATACTTTTATTTTTAAAAAAAATCATATGTAGGTTCTTCAAAAAAGACACACACCAAAACACACAGAGATGCCTGAAAGTTTTCTGAGTTTGGGCTTGGAACTAGTTCCCAGTTTACAAACATATCCAATCCAATCCCCCCAAGCCCCTCCTCTGCCTTTAAATTCCTCTTATCAGGCAGTACAGCTGAATGATGATGGCAGTACAACCAATGGTAATGCCCCTCCAGCTGCAAGAAGGAAGGTAGGAAATTGGATCTCTCCCTTCCCTTTCTGGCCAGCTGCTAGATCAGCCGGGGAAGGCGGCTGCTGCCATTAACTGGGAGAAGAAATGTTTCTCAAGGACCCTTGGGACTGTCTCTCCCCTGCAGCATGCCAGAAAGGAAGGAGAGGGTGTAGATCTTCCTTCCTTCTTTTACTGTGGATTGAGTGCCAACAGGGGAGATATTGGGGGGGGGGGCTAGGTGAGAAAGAGGGGACAGGAAACTTCTGAACTTAAATTGTTTTTGGAAATAAAGCAAGCTTTTCCTGACTTCTGCGGAAATAACTTGGACAGCGGTCCAAGCAGTTCAGTTTGATTTGGGCTGGGGGAGTTCATCTATCTCTGAAAAGAATAAAAAGTAGTTATTAGCACATTAAAAACTGGGAGAGCTCAGTTGGTAGCACATGAGACTCTTAATTTCAGGGTCGTGGGTCCAAGTCCCATGTTGGGCAAATGATTCCTGCATTGCGGGGGGTTGGCTCCATGGCCCTTGTGGCCCCTTCCAATTCTACAATTCTATGATTCTGTTAAGGCCGTGATTTAGAGGAGAATGACATAACAACAATGGAGAATTACAAGAACTTTACTATCCACATTAAACAATCGTATGAGTGAGCCCTAGGTCTTTTTTTCCTGAGTGCTGAAGTCAAAGGGATCATCCTTTGATTTGTGTTTGAGCAGCACCCCAAAACAAAGAGAGGGAGGAAGGAACAGAAAGATGGCTTCTCTGCTTAACCTAACTTTGATGTTCTTCCATTTATTGATCACCTATACTTCCTCTTATCTTCCCTCCTTCTTTTCAGATAGTAAAAAATAGGAATCCTAAACTTTCCCAAGGAACTGATGACCACAAACATGTTTCTTTCATCAGTCTCATCATTTGTATCTTTACAGCAATCCTGTCTGGTTGTTTGGCTGAAATGCTGTGAATGAGGTTTGAGGCTGAGTGTATGTATGTACTGTATTTTTCGCCCTATAGGACACACTTTTTCCCCTCCAAAAATGAAGGGGAGATGTGTGTGCGTCCTATGGGGCGAATGCAGGCTTTTGCTGAACCCTGGAGAGCAAGAGGGGTCAGTGCGCACCGACCCCTCTCGCTCTCCAGGCTTCAGGAAGCTATCCGCAAGCCTTGCGAGCCCGGCGGGTGGCAGCCCGCTCGCAAGGCTTGCGGGTGGCAGCCTGCAGCCCGAAGCACGGGGCACTCTCCGGAGTGCACCCCGGGCTTCGGGCAGATATCGGGCAGCCCCACAAGCTCGGGGGACAGCGGGGAGGCGGAGCGCCGCCATCCCGCTATTCCCCGACCTGGTTTGGAGGCTGGCGGTGGGGAGAGGCAAGCTTCTCCCCACCGCCAGCCCCACAAGCTTGGGGGACAACGGGACAAGCCGCTGCCCCACGGAGGCTAGGGAGGCTGTCCCTGAAGGTAGAAGAGGGAGATGGAGCGCTCCGTCTCCCTCTTCTAGCTTGGGGATGGCTGCGGGGGGGAATAAACATTTTTTCCTTGATTTCCCCCCCCCAAAAAACTAGGTGCGCCCTATGGGCCGGTGCGCCCTATGGGGCGAAAAAATACGGTATGTAGGTTTCTTTGGTTCCAGTCTGACACCTACTACATTACACTGACTCCATCTTAATTGTGGCAAAATAATCAATCACTCCCCTCTTGGGAATAAATTCCACCTCCTGGCTTAGTCACAGTTCCTGAATATGTCAGCACTGACCATAGTTAATATTAATGAGGATTACAACATTAAGCTTTATAAAATTCAATTGGCTGCCAAACATCATAGCTTTTTCGTCTGTGACATTGCTAAAATCAGATCCTTTCAAAACTATTCCTTCTGCTAAATTTTTAATCCAAATTCTGTTTGTTTCCTACCTTGGTTATTGCAATCACGAGTGTTTCTTACTCCTTAGTTCCTTCTTTTGAATTCCTCTTTCATCATAGGCTTTTATCTTAAAATTTTCATGGTCTTGTTCCTGCTTATCTTCTCTGCTTTTGCAACTTTGCATCTTGCGTTTGAATAATCAGGAACTAACATATTTAGTTAGTTAGGAACTAACACTAAATATCTGTGATCACTTGTACATTCTCCTGTCCCAAGAGGAGAGGTTTTGTCCCTGACTTCATGCTGAATATAATGGTACCTCGGGTTACATACGCTTCAGGTTACAGACTCCGCTAACCCAGAAATAGTGCTTCAGGTTAAGAACTTTGCTTCAGGATGAGAACAGAAATCGTGCTCTGGTAGCGCGGCGGCAGCGGGAGGCCTCATTAGCTAAAGTGGTGCTTCAGATTAAGAACAGACCCCCAGAACGAATTAAGTCCTTAACCCGAGGTACCACTGTATTTGAAATGCAGTATTGTCGGATGTGAAACACAAGAGCATCCCTAGAGTGGACATAAAAGGGGATGTCTGGACCAGCCAGTCGGAACTTCCTGTTTCTCCTAGGCTGGGACAGACTTCCTCTGCATGTGGCTAGAGGTGGGTGTGACCTCACCTGCCCAGGTAACAAAAGAGCAGGACTGGTCAGCCATCTCTATCTCTCTCTCTCTGACTACATTCATTGAAGAAGCAACATCTTCTTAGCCTAAGATTCTCTCTTGGCTTCCAGCCAAGAGAGGACAAAGGAGCTGTCACCTTATGGGATAGTTTCCAGGTGCATATTACTTTTGTAACTTAAGTCTGCCTTCTGGGATCCATTTGTGAACAGAATGTGTGAGTAAACTCTTTTTATACTTTTATAGAAGACTCTGTCGTGTCTATCTTTTTATGAGGGACTAAAGGGGAAATTACCAACGGAACTTATTTTAGAGGCTTTAGCAAGCCTGAGCAAACGCATCCGCTGCACAAGTTTATAAAGGGGAATGTTACTCTGCTAAATTGTAGAACTTGTTAACACAAGTTGGAAAGGATATAATCAAACAATATATCCTCTCCTGCATCCCTGAACATTCCCATAAGCATGAAGTTGGGGACAAATGGAAAGACTTGAACATTCAGCTTAGAGTTGGTGAGGAGCAGCAGAAACACGCCAAGCTTACTTGCTCTCTGTTCCTGCTTGGGGGGGTGGCTTGGGGGGGGGATGCTCCAACTACCTGGAAGGCACAGGGACATCCCTCTGCCACCCCCTCTAGCTCATAGCCAGAGAGGAGAGGCAGAGTTAAACAATCCCCTTTATAATTTTATGCAGCGATCAGCTTGTCGCTGACTCGTCTGAGTTCTACTAATAAAGATGCCTTCCTGGTTAAAAATCCCTTTGAATCCCTCTTAAAGAATACACACACAAATCTGATTCATGTTAATATAAAACTATTTTACTCTCAGATTCATTCAGGTTTACAGAGCTGTACTTGAAGGCAAGCTTAGGTTACATAACAACCAAATAAACTATACCAGAGGGAAGTTGGTGTGAGGTGACTGCAACTGAGCAGTTAACTTTCAAAACTACCAGCAACCGACAAACTGGTTGTCACAGCAACCGGTTAGAACATGGAGGCCGTTAGTCCTCTGTCGGAATGTTACACTTGACTGTAGCTTTAAATCCCACATACCTCTTCTCAAGCAGTACAGTGGTACCTCGGATTACATATACTTCAGGTTACATACGCTTCAGGTTACAGACTCCGCTAACCCAGAAATATTACCTCGGGTTAAGAATCTTGCTTCAGGATAAGAACAGAAATTGTGCAGCAGTGGCAGCAGGAGGCCCCATTAGCTAAAGTGGTGCTTTAGGTTAAGAACAGTTTCAGGTTAAGAACAGGCCTCCGGAACGAATTAAGTTCTTAACCCGAGGTACTTTAATCAACCAACCAGAGTCCCAGCTTTACATGTAGATTCTGGAAAGTTTCTTTTGGCAGGGGCTTTGTCAGGATGTCAGCAGTCATCTCTTTGGTGCTGCAATAACATAGTTCCACAAGTCCACTCTGAATCATTTCATGAATGTAGTGGTACTTCACACCAATATGCTTTGTTCTTGCGTGGAACTTGCACTCAGAGATAGCTTCATGCAACTTTGATTATCCTCTAGCAGCTTAACAGGTACCTTGCTCACCAACCCAAAGTCCTTAATGAGTTGATCCAGCCAGGCAACCTCTCTGCATGCTTCTGTAGCTGCAACATACTCTGCTTCTGTGGAAGATAATGCTACACAGTTCTGTTTATAACTACCCCATGAAACAAGTCCATCCCTGAACATAAACATATATCCACCTGCGGATTTATAAGCATTGTCGCCAGCCCAATCTGCATCAGTATACCCAATCAAACTAGGATTGCTGACAGCTGGTAACCTTAACTTAGAATATATAGTACCCTTTAGGTGCTGCACCACCCTTTTAACTCCTGCCCAATCATACTCAGTGGGAGCATTTACTTTTCTATTAAGTATCCCCACAGTATTGGCTATGTCAGGTAACTAAATGCAAAAGTTTACCACTCATTGACTGATACTCATTGTTGTCTGGCAACGGGTTTGAATTCTGCTGATTCTTTAAGAAGTCGGTGGCCATGGGTGTAGCAACTGTGTTTGCATCTTGCATCTGCATGCTTTCAATGAGTTCATGGATCTTTTGCCTTTGGTTGAGAAGAAATGAGCTGTCTTCTTCTCTTTCAACTTGAATCTTGAGGTAGTACTGAACTTCTCCCAGTTCCTTGACCTCCACTTCTTTGCTAAGATAATTTACAATTTGTGCATAGTCTCATTTGCTGTAGCAATAATCAAGTCATCAATAAATGTTAAAACATATGAGAATTGTCCATTACTTGACTTACTGTACAAGCACTTGTCAGCATGGCCTTCCTTGTAACCAAGCTGTGTCAGCATTCTATGCAATTTTTGGTTCCAGGCTCGAGCAGCCTGTTTGAGTCCATAAAGTCCCTTTTGCAGCTTACACACGAAATGTGCCTGATGTGGTTTTACAAAACCTTTGGGTTGACGCATATAAATGTCTTCCGAAATCTGTCCGTGGAGAAAAGCAGTAGCAATGTCAATGTGTTTCACCTGCATTTGCTTGGAGGCTGCAATACTCAGAAGCATCCTCACGCTGCTGTATCTCACGGTAGGTGCAAAAACCTCATCATAGTCTTCACTATATTGTTGTGAAAATCCTTGTGCTACAAGACTGGCTTTGTAGCATTGCACTTCTCCTTCTGCCCCCTTCTTAACCTTGAATACCCATTTACCACTAATGGACTTCTTGCTCAGTAAGAGTCCAAGTCTTGTTCTGATGCAGTGCATCCATCTCCTACTGTGCAGCCTTCTTCCAGAGACTGGCTTGTGCAGCTGGCATCTCCTCTATCTCTTCCCTTGTGGAAGGTTCCTGTGGAATCGGCGACCCTGCGAAGTAGGACAGTCTTATTGGTGGGACACCTTTGTTGGTTCTCGATGAGTGTCTGACCTCTGATACTGCGACCGCATCAGCTTCCTCATCCCCCTCCAACATTGACATATCTCC